AAACAAAGAAGAGGAAAAACAGAAAAATATAAAACAATACACATGAATATGAGCAGAATAAGTACTCTAAATAAAAGTATCATAGACCCACCCAACTCTATATTGTTGGTAAGAGAAGCACCTTAAAAAAGACAAAAACAAGTTGAAAGTAAACGGATGAAAACATATATCCCATGCATAGACTACAGGTAAGTTGCAGTAGCTTTATTAATATCAGATAAAATAGACACCAAGACAAAGAATGTTGGCACAAGGGAGAGATGGATATCTTTATCATGAAGATAAAAGGGCCATTTCATCAGGAAGATTCATCCACAACAATCATGAATGTGTGTCCAGCTAATAATAACAGCATCAAAATACATGAAACGAACACCTATAGAGCTGAAGGAAAAGTGTAATTCCATGACTGTAGTAAAATGTTTTAATGCTCCTCTGCCAAAAACTGATAGAAGAGCTGGAGGGAAAAAAATCAATAAAAACTTGGAAGACCTGAACAGCACTATCTATCACCATGACATAGTTGATAGGTGTCAAACACTTTGCCCAACAAAGAAAAATGCCTGTTTTTTCCCTAAGTGCACACGGTCTGCTTACCAAGACAGACAATATTCTGAGCCACACAGCGAGTGAACAAAATGTCAAAGAATTGATGTCAGTCAGAGCCTGTTTCCCGACCACTGAAGCTGTTTACCTGCTAAGTCATGTCTGACCCTTTTGCGACCCCATGCACTGCACCCACCAGACTGCTCTGTCCATGGGATTTCCCCGGCAAGAATGCTGGAGTGGGTTTCCATTTCCTTCCCCAGGGAGTCTTTCCGACCCAGGGATCAAACCCGTGTCTCCTGCATTGGCAGGCAGATTCTTTACCACTTACTCACCAGGGAATCCCTTCCTGATCATTGTTGAACTGAATTAGAAATCAAGAAATAGTAAGATATCTAGGGAACCCCCAAGCATATGGATATCAACAACATCTAAGTAATCCATGCTCAGGGAAGAAATACAATGAGAAGTGTAAAATACTTCACGCTGAACGATGATGAAAAGACAGCTTATGACAGTTTACGAGCTACAGTTAAAGCAGTGCTTTGAGGAAAATGTATACCTTTAAAGGGCTTGTAACAGACGTGAATAAAGACTGCAGTCAGTGACCTAAGGGTCTACCTCAAACCAAAAGAAGGGCAAAATCAACCCAGAGTAAACAAAAAGGAGAAAAGGCAAAGATAAGGAAAGAAATCAAGGAAACAAGAAACCAACAAAACATAGCAGCAGTTAATAACCAAAAGCTGATTCTCCCAAAAGATCAAACAACTGACAAAACTCTAGTAAGACTAACCCCCTAAAATGAGAAAAAAAAACACAGATCATCAATATCAGGGTTAAAAGAATAGGTGTTATTTCAGATCTTAAAAAGATAAGAAGAAGACAGTATGAGTAACTTTATGCTAATAAATTAAATAACATTAAAAATTAATGAAAGAATATCATGGAAGTTCCCTGGTGCTCCACTGGCTGACACTCCACACCCCCAGTCCCGGGGGCCCAGCTTTGATCCCTGTTGGGGAACTAGACCCCACGTGCCCCAGCTAAGAGTCCACATGCCGAGATGGTGCAATGGAGCCCCACGTGCTGCCAGTGAGGCCAGGAGCAGCCAAATAAACAAATAGAATGAGTGAATATTGCAAAAAAGGAATGTCACGAGGAAATTTATGCTGACAAATCCAACAACTTTGGTTAAAAGGACAAATTCCTCCAGAAATGCTGCTTACCCAGATTTATACTAGATCAAGGAGAAAATTTGAATATTTCTATAGTTATGTTTTAAAGTTAGTTTTTTAAAGTAAAAACAAACAAACCTTCCCACCAGGAAAATTCCAGGCCCTGAAGCTTTCACTGGTGAATTCTACCAAACTTTCAAAAAGGTGTAACATCAAATTTACAGAAATCCTTTCAGATAACACAAGAAGAGGGAAAACTTTTCAACTTGCCTTATGAGGCCAGCATAATTCTGAAATAAAAGCAGACAACGGCATTGCAAAAAAAAAAAAAACAACAAACCTGCGAACCAATATTTCTCATGACTGTGGACAAGAAGGTCCTTAATAAAATATAAGCAACTCAGGAAATCTAGCAACATTTAAAAAGGACAATGCATTACAATTATGCAAGGTTTATCTCAAAATACAAGGATGGTTTAGCACTCATAAATCAATCAATGTAATTTACCATATTAACAGAATAAAGATCAACACTCACAGGATCATTGTAATAGATACAGGAAAAAGCATTTGACAAAATTAAAGATCCAATCATAACAAAACTCTCAGGGACCTCAGATAGAGCAATACAGGGTGAGGATGTGAAGTCTAAGCTAATGTCACACTCAATGATGGTAAACGTTATCCCCATGAGATTGGGAATGAGGCAAGGATTCCTGCTCTCAAGGCCCCTCTGCACCATTTCCTGGAGGGTCTAGTCATTGCAGATGGAAACAGAAGTCAGCGCCTGCAGACCTGAAAAGAAGCGGTCCAGTCTCTCCTTGGGGGTGGGATAGTTGCTTACGCTATCCTCACAGGAGCATGGACCAGCGGCCCTCACCTTGGGGCTCAGGGTCTGTGGTCCGTCCCGCACGCCTCCAAGCCTGTGCCCTCCAGGCAAGCCCCAAGAGAAAAGGTGATGCTGGCGCCGTGGATCCCTCACTCAGGAGACAGACGGCCCCTGGAAGCCCCCGATGAGCCCTGCGCTCGGGCCAGCACCTCGCAAGCCCCGAAAGCACCCGGGTTCGGTCTCAGTTCCCACCACGGCTTCTGGCAGCCCTGCTTTCTTACGAGAAACAAAGGCTCTTGGAAGCAGTCCCAGAGGTCAAGCAGTTAGTTACCTGCTTGGTCTCCACGCATCGCCATGGCCCAGAGGTTCCCTTGGGGAGATCTTCCCTGAACAGCAGGTGGGGGACTGACTTTCAGACTGTCTCATTTGGTTGTCGCTGCTGACAAAACGCTAACGGGGAACCCGCGGAAGCGGATGTGCCTTATTTCATTTTGCCTTTTCTCTAAACTACGAGCTTCGCTGGCGTGTTTGCTTCCTTTGCCATCTTTGTTCTCAAATTGCACCCAGGGGAGCCAGACAATCAGGTGAAGCTGCAGATTTGAGAGTGTGTCTGAGTGTCTCTACAGACGCAGACGTGGGGCTGAGTGTGGCCCCACGCGGAGGGGGGAGCCGCTGGGGGGCAGCAAACTCTGGATCCTGGGGGTCCCGGGTTTGAGGCAGTGACCCCCCGTTTCCTGCCTCAGTCTCCCCACGTGAAAAACGAGGCCACGGCAGGAGACGGGACACAGCGTGTCGCCCCGGTCGGGCCCGCGCTCACTGCTTGGCAGGTGGGAGCTCTCAGGCATCCTTGTGTCCCTGGTGGTCCCTGGACGCAAGGGTGGAGTTGGGAAGGAGGTCGCCGTGCTCAGAGGGGGTGCAGGGCAGTGCTGACCCGATCCCAGCAGAGCAGTGTGGGGGACGAGAGGGCCAGGGGGCTGAGCCGTGCCAGGCAGCTCTGCGGGCACCTGGGGCCGCGCTGGGCATCTGCGGACTCGGTTTCCTCACTGAAAAGGCAGAAGGAGTGCGGCTTAAACATCACTTCAGCTCAGGTCAGTTGCTCAGTCGTGTCTGACTCTTTGTGACCCCATGGACTGCAGCACGCCAGGCCTCCCTGTCCATCACCAACTCCCAGAGTCTACCCAAACTCACATCCATCGAGTCAGTGATGCCATCCAACCATCTCATCCTCTGCCGTCCCCTCCTCCTCCCGCCTTCAATGTTTCCCAGCATCAGGGTCTTTTCCAATGAGTCAGTTCTTCACATCAGGCGGCCAAAGTATTGGAGTTTCAGCTTCAGCATCAGTCCTTCCAGTGAACACCCAGGACTGATACAGACACAGTGAAAACACACTTCAATGCATGCGGCCCCAGTGCGGCAAAGCACAGCGGCTTTAACAACGGCACCATCCCCCCTTCTCTGACCAGGAGGAAAGCTGGGTGCGGGGTGGGCTACCAGGGTGGAAACCTCTCAACAGGAGCCAGCCAGGCCCGGGCTGGGGAGCTGGGCAGGACGGTCAGGTGAGAAGCAGGGGCAACCCCACAGGGGCAGCGAGCGGTGCGCCCGGGCCTCGGGGAGGGGACCGCCCACCTGGCTTCACACCGGCTCCCTCTGCCTGTCCCAGCGGCCCGGTCCCTCTGACCCCTCTGCTCACAGAGCCCAGCGGACCCCAGGCAGCCCCCACCAAGCCTCCGACTCAGCGTGCCCCACCCCCAGCATCTCCTCCCAGGCCTCTCACCCAGAGCCCCTGACTGCCCTACCCACTGTCTTCGCATCTCCCCTGCAGGGAAAGCCCAGTTCCCACCCAGAGCCCCAAGCCAGCTTCCAAACCACGCTTGACTCCCCAGCCCCACACCCAGCGGTCAGCAGGTCCCATCCATCCACGCCTCCATCCACGCCTTACGCGTCCCCTTCAGCCAAGCCCAGTCATCACTCATGCGATCCTTCATCCAGCCCAGGGCAACAGCCTCAGCGGGTCCCACTTTGACCCCCACCCACCTCCCTTCTCTACAGGGAGGCAGAGTTCTCCAAATGCACCCAGACCCGGTCACCTCCCTTCCCCCAAGCCTGGCCGCCCCGTCATGGGAACAGATTCTAAAAGCACCGCCGCGGCGGGCACGGTCCTGCCAGCTCCCGCCCCTGCGGTCCATCTCCAGTCCCCTCTCCCTCCGCCCACGCCCGACGTCTCTCCCCCGCCAAAGTCACCACGGGATGCTGCCTCCCGCCCCACGGGCTCCTCAGGGGGCTTGCCTGGCCGCCTCCCTCCCAAAGGCCCTCCCCAGAGCCTCCTGGCCCTTACTTACCCCCACAGCACCCACCACAGGCAATATTTACCCAGCTTTCTATTTCCTTGTTTTCTGTCCCTGCTCTAGGCTGAACAATGACAGTCCAAAAGAACGTCCACGCCCTAACCGTTCCGGCCAACATTACCTCATACAGAAAAGGTGTCTTTGGAACTGGGATCAAGGTAAGGATGTCGCTGTGGGGAGACTATTCTGGATTATCCAGGTGGCCCTCGATGCAACCTCAAGTGTCCTTGAAAGAGGGAGCCAGGGGAGATTCACAGCCACAGTGGGAAAGGGGAGGTGAAGGCGGAGCAGAGAGCATGAGGATGTGGGCCTCAGACGACGCGGCCACAAGCCAAGGAGCTCAGGCACCAGACCACCAGCAACTGAAAGCCAGGAAGGACCCTGGAGCCTCCGGAGGGGGGCTGGCATCGCTCCTCCGAGTTAGTCTGAGCGGCAGGAAGGGGGGTGGCTGCTGCTCCTGGGAACTCTGGGCTGGGATGCTCGGGGCCACGGAGCTGTGTCAGGGCCGCTGTGACTGAGCGGCCGGGGAGCTGTCGGGCTGGGAGCCGGCTCCCAGTCTGGGGTTCAGGGAAGGGTCTGCGGGCGTCACAGACATGTGGTCACTGCCGTGGCCTGGAGGAAGCACCGGCAGAGAGCCCTGGGAGGCAGGAATACGGGGAGGACCGCGGGGAGTGGGCAGCGGCTCCGGAGGGAGGGCGGGCTCCAGGGAGGGGGCACCACCGCACTGGAGTGCCGCTGACGTCTCCACGTGAGACGAAGGCCCTCCTTCAGCAGCTGGGATTGGCGGCCTGAGCTGGGGGCCAGGAGAGACCAGGAGGAGAGCCGTGGACACGGGGAGCGAAGAGCCTGTTTCTGTGAAGGGGACGGGGAGGTGGGGCGATGCGGGAGGGAAGAAAGGGAAAGGGCGTGCTTAATAAGCGGGAGCAGACGGCCACCCTCCTGGGCCGTGGGAATGGCGGGGGCAGGGTGGGGCTGGGGGCAGACGGACTGGGACAGAGCAGGCCCCGCCCCGGACGTGGACCTCCAGGTGGGAGCCCCAGCTGCGCAGGCCATGCGAGGAGGGGACCACGCCGGTGACGGCAGCTGGGAGGGTCTGAGCTCAGAGGGGCTGAGGCAGGACCCCTGGGCGCGCCGGGCGTCCTTGGGGGGAGGTCATGAATTCACGGGAAACATCCGAGCGGTCCCGGGAGCCGTTTGGGAGCAGGCAGGATGGGGACGGCCAGGGGCTGAGTGCCGAGAGTGGCGCCAAGGATGGTTCCGGAAGCCCAGCTGGGCAGAGGGGAGGGGCGGTGGGAGCAGGGGTGTAGCCGGGGCTGCAGCCAAGGGATCGGGGGTCTCAGTGCCCCCGGCTCATGGATGGTCGGCGGCAGTGTGACCGTCACCTCCCACAGGCCTGGGGCTTCCTGAGAGAAGCTGTATCAGCCCTCGGCAGAGCTGGGCGCACCGCAGGGATGAGAAAGGGTCATCTGCGTGCTCCCCACTTCCACCCTGACACTGCCCCGCATCCAGGACTGGCCACCGCCCCTGCCCAGATGACCTCCCAAGATTAGAAGCCAGCCGCCCGGTCCGAGGCTGAGCCCATGACCGGTGAGTGCCCGCTGGTGCCTGCAGCCGGAGACCAGCTCCGTCTGGCCAGGCCTGTCACGCAGTGGGTCTCGGTCAACACCTGCCATCCGTGAGGGTCAGTTCAACAAGGACAGTGGGCACCCAGGGAGGCTGAGAAGGGAGAGTGGAGGTCTGCGGTGGGGGGAACTGGGCTCTGTGCCTGGAAGAAGGGGCAGCGGGCAGCCCACAGCTCTGAGCACGGAGGCCGGACAGCTCGTGTGGGCTGGGCCCCACTTGCTAGGAAATTTGCAGGGAGGAGCGGGGAGAGGCAGTGCTGTCGCCTAGGCAACCGCTCTGTCACCTTCTAAGGAGCCTGGCGGAGGGAGCAGGAGGCCTGTCTTAAAGGAGCTCGAGACCCATCGATTGATTTGGCGGCGTCCTGAGGAGTCTCAGCAGGAAGTCGGTTCCTCCCGAGCTCAGGCCCGAGTTCCATCAGGACGGACGGAAGGAGAGGGGGTGCCCGGGACCCGCTGCACCAGCTGAAGGGGCTCAGGGCTGGCACAAAGGGGCAAGAGGCTGCTCCGGCTGCCGGACACACAGGCGGAGCCCCCAGCCTGATTCCACCTGGAGCTGCTGCTCTGGGGGCTTCGCGGTCTGCCAGGCGGAAAGTCACTGGATGAGAAGACTGGAGTCTAAACTGGTCAGCAGAGAGGTGTGGCCACACCCCGGGCCGTGGCCACCTTGCACCCCAGCTTTGGCCAACCCCAAAGCAGTGGTCGGGAGCAGAGAACTGAGGAGGGGCTGGTGGGGGCACCGGGGTGGGTGCTGGACCAGAACAAGGCCCGACTATAAGGAGACTTGGTTGGCAGGAGTGAATAAGAACATGATAATCCCTGGTGATGCAAACTGAGCCCTGAAATGCAGAGACGCTTCCTTCCTCCAATCACAGGGTTCTTCCAGGAGATCGTAGCTTCGTGCCATGAAGATAAACGAGCTTTTAGTTAACAACATTTGAGTTTGACTTCGTCTTCCCAGCCTCTGTTAGGTTCAAGGACAAGCTAGGATTTCCAGGTTACAAAGCGCGTGGGGGTGACATCAGCTCTGCTCATCTGTCCTCGGCCTCCAGCCTGTGTGCCTGGCACTTCCTGGGCATTTCTGCGGCAGCAGCTCCCTCACTGTTTGCAGCTGGCAGGTAGGGACCGCCTCATTGATGCCCCCGCAGAACAGGTGGGCGCGGAAGGGTGACCCCCACGGCCAGAAGTCAGATTTGGTTTTAGGGGACAAGACCCAACACTTCTTCCCAGCTCTTCCTCTGCACGCCCAGGAAACCGTCTGCATCACCCCCACCTGGCCCCAACACCGCCTGTTCTGGGCAGCGGGCTTTTGTCTCTCCTGCTACGTTCTTCTTTGTATGTTAACTTCACAAGCAATAAAAATAATGAGTCTGTGTAACTTTTTAAAACAACTTTCTTAAGATAAAATTCACAAACCATACAACTGACCCACTTAGAGTATACAATCCAATGGTTTTGGTATATCACATCATCATTTTAACTGTAAAAATTGAATATAGTAAAATATATATTTCCACTCCAGTATTCTTGCTTAGAGAATTTCATGGACAGAGGAACCTGGTGGGCTACAGTCCATGGGGTCACAAAGAGTCAGACATAAGTGAAGCAACTTAGCACGCATGCATGCCTTGATTTGTAACATCACCTTGCAGACAAAGGTCCGTGGAGTCAAAGCTGTGGTTTATCCAGGAGTCAGATACGGATGTGAGGCTGGGGCCATAAAGAGTGCTGAGCACTTAGGAATGGATACTTGCAAACTGTGGTGCTGGAGAAGACTCTTAAAGAGTCCTGGGACTGCAAGATCAAACCAGTCAATCCCAAAGGAAATCAACTCTGAATATCATTGGAAGGACTGATGCTGAAGCTGAAGCTCCAATACTTTGGCCACCTGATGTGAAGAGTCAACTCACTGGAGAAGACCCTGATGCTGGGAAAGACTGAAGGCAGGAGGAGAAGAGGACAATGGAGGATGAGATGTGAGATAGCATCACTGACTCAGTGGACGTGAGTCTGAGCCAGCTCGAGAGAGACTGAAGGACAGGGAAGCCTAGCGTGTTGCAGTGCATGGGGTCGCAAAGAGATGGACATGACTGAGTGACTGAAAAACATCAGCAGCCTTGCTCTGGGGCCTCCTGCTCTGGTGATCCCATGTGGGTTACGCCCCCAGGCTCCAGCTTCCCCACCTGGGACGGAAGAGACCTGGATCACCCCACCCCTTGACGCTCTGCATTGTGATTATCAGCTGTTAGATATCTCCTTCTCAGAGTTTACTTTCCGAAGACTAAACACTGAGAAAGAGGTAAGAGGGAGGTTTCCTAATACCTATTTCCAGCATAGCTTCTCAGAAAACGGCGGTGCTTAGGGTTTCTCCCCTCAGATGGGGCACATAATGGAGACGGTGGGGTCTAAGGCTTGGATCTGGGCTGGGAATGCCTGCGAAAGGAGAGTGTGGGGCTCACACAGAGAGGGGCCAGGAAGAAAGCGCATTTCCTCACAGCTGGAGGGGCAAGTCCAGGCCTCTGGGTAAGACAGCGGGCCGAGGTCGGGGTCTGGAGGCCCACCGAACTCTCCTAGGCGCCTGGTTCTGCGAAGGCATCCCGGGTAGGCAGAGTTGGGTCTGTTTCCATCTGAACACCCAATGCAGACGCACACACCTGTGCACGCCCGCCCCCACGTATGCCCATGAACCAGAAACACAAGCACAGACCCTCACCCAAGAGGCCCACCTGGGGCAGAAGCCCCTGCAGGCGACATCTGCTCCCTCCCGGCTCTCCTGCGAGGCACCCGGAGGACAGAAGGAGACCTGCGAGGAGCACCGGCCACCCGCTTTCCAGCTCTGGGTCCATCCCCCTCAGCTCTCCTCCATCACCCCTCCCGGCTCGCAGCCTCAGTTTATCTCACCTCCAAGGACACCTCCGGGAGATGGCCAGCCTTTCCATCCTCGGCCTGCGCCCCTCCCTGCTCTGCGTCCATTCTTTGAGGGCAAGGGGGCCGGGATCCCAGAGGCCAGGGGCCTGGAGCCACGCCGCCAGGCCAGCCAGGATGGAGTTTTCCCTCCCAGTTAAATTTCCCCCGCCTGCTTGATGTCACATCCTGTCCCGGCTTCCCCGCCGCCGCCCTCCCCACCCCCGCGCGTGAGCGTGGCGCGCGGGTGCCCCTGCGCCTCCCGGCCCCCGCCCCTTCCCCGCAAACTTTTGGCACCCGGGCCGCCCAGCCGCGCGCTCGAGCTCTGCGGGCGCGGGGCCGTCAGGAGGAGGGGCCGAGGAGGGGCGGAGGGGCGGCCCGCCCCGCCCGGCGACCGCGGAGCCGCTCGACGCGCCGGAGATGCAGAGCGGAGGCTCCGCGCAGCAGACCCCGCGCGCCGCCTGCTCCGGGTGCTGAAGGCGCGGGGACACGGCCGGGCGCCGCCGCGGAGCCCGCAGACCGGGAGCGCGTCCGCGTCCACGCAGCCGCCGGCCGCCGAGCACCCAGGGCTCCCCGCACGCCAGGACGTCGGAGGCGGCCGCGAGACATGCAACCGGCCCGGAAGCTCCTCAGCCTCCTGTTCCTCATCCTGATGGGCACCGAACTCACCCAAGTACGTGCATCCAACGCCATTTTCCTCCCTGCGTGCGAGGCGCCCGCCTGGCCCGGGGCCGGGCAAAGTCGGGAGCCGCTCCGCACAGCCCGGCGCCCCCCGGCCCGGGCGCGCGGCCGCGGGATTGGGGAGGGGACCAGCTGCAGCTGGGATGCAGGAAGGGGTGCAGGCTGACCCCAGGCTGCTGCTCTGTCCCCCAGGACCGTCAGCCCCGAGCCCTTCCTCCTGGACGCCCTGGCTGCCCACTCCCTACTGAGAAGTTCAAAGGGCGGCGGAGGGGGCCGTTTGGCGCCTATTGTCATCCGGGCGGAAGACCGAGCAGGCGGTCCGAGCCGCCGGCACGCTCGGAGGTGGATGTGACCCAACTCCCGCCCCTGCATCCCTGCCTCTGGCTACAGTTGCTGCCCTTGGGGCTCCCGAGCTGGCGGTGGGCATGGTGCGGGGGAGACCAGACTAGGGAGGGCAGGCCGTGTGTCTGAGGCTGGGGTACCTTGTGGTTTCCATGTGGAGGTTTGGGGGGGAGGTTGTGGCCACATGCGTGGCATGAAGTGAGTGGCCAGAGTGTGTGGGGACCGCTGGGCATCTTAAGTGGACTCGCCACCCCTAAACAATGTATCAGTAGAGAGCCTGTCTCGGGCTGGTATTCTCCATTTTAAAATGCATTTGAGAGCTGGTGGGGCTGGCGCGCCGAGGCTGGGGTGTCGCTTTGGCACCAGGGTGTTGGCAAGAGGCTGCCAGCTTCGGGAGCCAGGCCGCTCAGAGTGACATTAAAATGCCCTCTCCACGGCGCCTCTGTGCCACGGTCTGAGCCCGGAGATGCCCTCTGCAGCTGCGAGTCCGGGAGGTGGGGGGGGGGTGCTGCCAGGAGCTTGGCCCCAGGCGCCAGCTGCCCCCAGCCCTCCTCTCTTCTCTCCTCCCTCTGCGCCTCCCTCCCTCCCAGAATAAAAGGAAACAAAAGAGAGGAGAGAGGGTGAGAGGTGGATCACAGGAGAAGGCTCTGGAATGAGCGTCCCTTGTGTTCCCCGGGAAGCGCTTGCCGGCTGCCTGGCTCTGCGGGAAGTGTGCGGCCCCGGCCCCAGCCCGGGAGGGTCTGCGTCCTGCTGCACTGGGAGACCCTGCTGGTGCCACGCAGGCAGTCAGCCAGGCACCCTGGTGAGGGTCCGCCCGTCTCCGGGAGAGTTTTCCTGGCTGCGGGGAAGGCCTGGCCGAGGGGCAGGCTCGGGCTCTGTGAGTGGACACGGTATGAATGCACGTGCCCACGCTCACACATGCTCCCACTCCACACACACGGGCAGACACGGCAGAAAGCAGCCAGGAGGCATGTGCCTGATTCAGACATCTCGGGGAGGAGACGGCGGGTCTGGGTGCCCTGGAGGCGACCACCCTCAGGCCCTCCAAGCCCTCACCTCCAGGCTCCCTGAGTCTCCATTCCCAGCCCTCCTCCAGAGGTTCACTTCTCGGTCTTTTTAAAGATCCCCTGTTGTTGGAAGAAACTTTTGGTCTAGCTTGGGTTGGAAGCTTTGTCTGGGTGGCGCGAGCCCTCGCCCGTCCACGCGGTCGGCGCTGGACGTCCAAGTGTGGCCAGCCCCCACACTCACAGGGGCAGCCACACTGTCCCTTCAGGACCCTGGTCAGCTCCCCAAGGCCCCCTGGGCCAGGAATGGAGATGATGCTGTTTTCTCTGAAAGGTTCCTGTTTGCAAAGGGAACTGTAGGATCCCTCAAGGGAACGCCTCCCTCTACACAGCCGAGAGGCAGGGCCCTACCCTCCCGGCCTGCCTCTGAGTCTGTGCTCTGAGAATCTTCCATCGGAAGCCTAGTATCCCTGATGGCAGTGGGATTTTAGAGCCGAGGCCCAACTGGCAGAGATCGCTCTAACCGGTCCACGTCTGTGAAGCAGTCAGAGAGTGGCTGGCTTAGCCACCGGCTCCAGAGATCCCGGCTGCCCTGGTCCCACCCAGGGGGCTTCTCTGGGGTCAGGCCAGGCGCCTCTCCTTTGTCAGACCTCTGAGGAGGGGACTGGGTTTGGGGGGTTACAGGTACAGGGCTGCTGTGAATCTGAGAGCTTCTTGGGGCCACCCCTACCCAAGACCCTTGCTTTCTTGATCCCAAAGGGATCCACCTCTGGGAAGCCACACTGCCTGGCGTCAGGAGCGATGGTCCCTCCACGTGTGATGAGGGAATCACCTCTGGGCTTCGGGACAAGGAGGGCAGGGCAGTGGTGACCGGCCTGGGTGGACTCCATCTCCCCCCACCCTCTTCCTCTCCCCCTTCAAGTAAGCTGCCTCCACAGCCCCACCCTCTGTCTCAGGGCCCTTCCAAAGAACGTGGACACGAGGTTCCAGGGCCGCTGTGTTTGTGGATTAGGGCCTGTCCGAATGGGAACAAGTCAGAACCGTGTGGGTGTCACCTGCGCTTCACGGGCGCCGCTTGAAGGATTCAGGCAGACGGGCGGGCGGTGGGGGGAGCGCACATGGCCGGGCCATCTGTTCTCCCAACAGCAGGCTTACGATGAGCCACTCAAACGCCAGCGAGTGATCGATGGCCTACTACGCGCCAGGCTCTCGGGCCCAGATGAACTCTGTCCCCAGACGGAAAGACGCTTGACTGGGTCCCATGCTGTAGTTTTTAGGAAGAGGCTGGCGTCTCCAGCTCCTGGAGAAGCACCATCAGAGCTTCCCAGCAGAATGCAGAACCAGACCAGCGTCTTGGCGGAGACGCCCTGCCCACCCCAGCCCAGCTCACCTTCCCTTGCAAGAAGCACGTGGCCCCCCGCATGAGATGGCCCGAAAGGGGATGGCAGCTCTTGACAGTGACCCTGGGCCCAGCTGCCCCTCCGCTCCTGGCCCCACCAGGCACTCTGGTGACCTTGAGAAGGGCTCTGAGCTTCACCCTGAAT